TGGGGGGGGGAAGGAGGGAAAAAAAAAGGCACAGCAGAGATACAGTGCTAAGTTCACCACTGATTTCCCCACCCTCCAAAAATCTCACTGCTCCAGTGACCGGGTATGTCCCCTACTTGGCACCAGATTCGCCACCGGCTCAGACCAGCCTCCCTACAGCGACACTCAGTGATCAGAAGAACAAATACACAACCTCTTATTGCACTTTTCCAATTTCACGATGCTTTGACTCAATCCAGGGTCTGATTAGGACCCATAGGTGCGCTCTCCACTCCAATCCATGGGCTTTATCGGATAAGTGACCCTGGCACCAAATCCAGTTTGGGCATAGCAGGTGGCCAGGAGGGGAATGCAGGAGGGGATGGATGTGTTTCTATCATTTGACCAGGTGTTCTTGGAGAAACAGCCAGCCAAATGAGTGCCAGCAGCTTAAACCCATTCATTAGTCAGAAGAAGTCGATCCCTTGAAAGCAACCTCAGGCCTTGTTTTAAGGTGCTACTGGATCTAGGACCCAGGATAAGTAGCAGAACAGAGAATCAGCTGTGTTTGCTCATTCATACCACTAAGCACAAGCTTGTGCTCCGATTGCAGTTTTCAAGGGCACACTGCCCTCATGTGGCAATCTGAATATCTGTAGCCACAACCCATTGCCAGCGACACGGAAGTGCCCGAGGGACCAACGCACTGTGGCATCTCTCTCTCAAGAATAGTTCCCACCTGAGCAACTGAGTCAGAGCAAGCGAGTAATTGTTTCCAAGAGCTTCACTGCAAAAGCTTAAAGTACTTGCTTCTTAGCTCTTTGGTTTCCAGTTTCAGGAGATTAGTGTGAAAGAAGGACACCACGAGGATGGGTCTCCCACATGAAAGGAGCAGACCTGGGAGAGTCGCTTTCCAGGTAGGTGAGATTTACCTAGTCATCTTGACAGTATTTTAAGCTACTTTAACGGGACCTTACAATTCAAGGACAGAAGACTAAATAGTTATCATAGGGCCAAGTCACAGCTCTGGAGTAATCTATAAAAAATGGCAGGGTGCAGATACCAAGGTGGGCTCATGTTTAAGACTGGACAAAGGGGCTTCCAGAAAGACCAAAACATAAGTCTTACGGGAACAGATTAGACATTTGTGTGGGAAGATGGATAGAAAGCGGCACAAAAAATCATGATGGGGGATGCATGAAAGGACATGTGAACATTGAGGCAAAAGAGGATGTAGGATGATACAAACCCTGGTATCCTTTATAGAATGAACGGGATGAAATTAAAACGGAAAATACATGCCAACTAGAAATTATTCTCCAAGCAAGATCCAGAGGTGCAGAGCTTCAGAAACCAGCATGGGTCTCTGGAAACGCTCCTTAGATGTCCTGCTCCATCACAGACTCCAACTCCCGTACTCGCTATGCCTTGGGTCCCCATATATTTTATATATATAAATAAATAATGTGAGGAGAGTAGTATTTCCTCCTAGCACACAGTGGAGATGCACAGTAAAGATCATAATGTGCTCAAAGACTGTACTAAGGGGGAAAGGAGGGAGGGAGAGAGAGAGAGAGAAAGCACTTTTTATACTGCTTAACATTACGAGTATGACTGAGATCCGTGTCTGTCAACAAGCTCCAGGCACTAGTCCTACAGGCAACAGAGAAACTCTGAATCTGCAGATCTTAGCTGAATCTCAGATTAGTGTTCAAACAATTCTCTGTGCAGCAGCTGGGGAAACCAGGCTGCTGCTTGGCGCACTCTTAAGAAGCCAAGATCGACCACAGTTATGCCCTTACACTGAAATTTGGATTCTTTCAGCCATCCTTTAAACAAGGAGATACTTGAAGTGCAGTCACAATTAGTTGATGTACTCTACATAAAATGTATCAGCCAAAGAAAAGCAGTCAGGAAATAGTGGGACAAGCATTTAGGGACAGAGCCTGAGCACAAAACGTGGAGCTTTACAAGGTAATTGCCAGACGCACAGGAGAGGCAGTGAAATCACCCCTGCACAGAGTCCAGAAAGTTAATGTTAAGACCAGATATAAATATACACCATAAATATATGGTGTATGCAGCTGGGTGTTGCGACCATGGCAAGTCTGCGCTGCACCAGGAAAAACGGCACGGCCACACATTAGGCCACAGGATGAGGCCACGCAGACAGTCTCGTCAGGATAGAGCCGTGACCTTCCCCTCCCTGCCAGCGTCACTGCTCTTTCCACCCACGCCCACAGCTTTCCAAGAGGACAGAGCACAGCACAGATCACCCTCTGCCAATTCAGACTGCAAGCTCAAGGACAGCCAGCAAGTGAGGGAACAGCCTTAGGCTTTTGGTAAATTATCTGATTGGATTCTCATCCTGCTGCTGCTGTGCTCTGCAAGCCACTGAGCACATGGAGGAGCTAAAACAGAGGCACAGGTTAAACCTAAAGGTAAAAGGCAGAAGGGTGCTTAGGGTGTTTTGTCACATACTGGTACATAAAACATACCTGTTCAGAGGTCAAAGCAACGGTTTTCCGCACCAAGGCAGATGCTTTCAGTAGCTCGAAAGAGGACACTTCCTAGGAGAAAGGACAGAAAAGAATTTGCAGTGATCAGTATGTAACAGCCTATGCCATATTCCTGCAATTGGGCTGAAGGACCCAACCAGATACTGCATTTCATGCTCAGCTGGCACCTATCAAATGAAGGGCACGGTCACACCAGCCACATGCATGAGACAGCTTCTGGGCACTGACAGAACAGAGGTTGCTTGGAAAGGGCAATAATGACCCTTACTGAAAATTAAATTAGGCTTAAATACTTTTTAGGAACAAACAGGTGTTGACCCGGTGCCCGGCCAGGCCCGTTCAGGCTACACGTTAACCTGCCATAGGAGTGCATGGGTTGGGCTGGCCCCGAATATACTCAGCCATGGTTTTCCACCCCATTTTTGTCCCCTACTCTTACCCTAGCTGGCTCATCCAAGGAGAGGAGAGGCAGGAGGCTTAACCCTGCATAAAATGACCCTTGCCTCAGTTTAATCCTACAAAAAAAAAAAAACACAGGTCTCTGAACTCCAAATGCCTCCCCTGCTGCCCTGCACACCTTCACCAGAGCCCTGCCTGCCTAGGGGAGCCCAGGGACTCGGCCTTCCACCCCCCGGCACCTACTGCCGCTCTCACCCACACCCACTGCCGTTCACAGCCCATGGCCTGCCAGCCCCGGGGCCTCCGAGGGCCGAATCCTGACAAAGTAATGGTCCCCAGTAGTCTGAGTCAGGCTGGGCAAGCAGCCACTAGCCCCCGCTGCTCTGGAAGCTCTGTGGGTCCTGATCCTGACTGCCATGGATGCAAAGCTGGAGCTGAGCCTCTGTCCTTCTCAGTCACGCCGGCAGATGGCTCCCTCCCCACAAGAAACCCCACCAAAAAACCCCAAATATTTTTCTAAAATCCATTGTCAGGCAAGTAAGGAATGAGCAAATCCTCCGAGTACTTAATCAGTCATCCACTGTGGCATCACAGATGACTTCCCTTCTGCTGACAAGGGCAATAAGAATACCAAGGACTTGGGCATGCACACGTATTTTGCTTTTCCAAACACGAAGGACAGAGCTCGCAGAGACATCAGCCAGAATAACAAAGGCTTGCCATGGAGACCTGGTCTTAGAGAAGAAGGAAGACTTAGCCACAGGCCAGCCCTTCCATAGATAGCATTGCACTTGCTTCTCTGGCACAATGCTTGTGCCAAAGACACACTTCTTTTAAGCCCAATGATTTAGAAAGAAAAAAAAAAAAAAATCCACCTGACCTTTTACACTTTACCTCCCCCTCCCCTTTTCCTCCCTTCCTTTTCTGCTCTTTGTCTTCCTAATTTCCAGGTATTTCCTTTTTCTCACACAGCCTCTTTTCTACCTTGAATCATTATTACTGTAGAGTCTCCTTGACCCACCTTTAGTTTTTTTTCCCCCCTCCCTTACCTGTTTTACCTTTTGCCCTCCTAATTTCTACCTATTTCCATTCTCACTGACATCCTGCCACACTTTTAGCTTCTCTCATTCCTTGGAGATCTCAGACCAGCAGAGTCTGCCGATGCCTGAAGAAGGCTGTTTGTGCCCAAAAGCTTGCAAACAACTTGTTTCTAACTATTGAGTTGGTCTAATAAAAGAGATCACCTCTACACACAGAGCCTGGCCTGCCTAGGCCCTTAGACCAACAACCCAGCAATCGTTCACAATGACATTTAGGTAAGGAAACCTAGTAATGACATTTTGAGTAAAACACAGCATACTCCACAAAGAAAAGTAAGTTGCCTAGACACTTCTTTTCCAAAAATCATAGTCCAGTTGGGCAAGACCGCATCCAGCCAAGCCAGCCCATCAAGACTTCACGCCCCCAAATGATGCACTCTGTATGCAAATGGATTGGTTTAATATTTTAGAAGCGTACAGCTCAATACCTGCTTCTCTGGGGGGAAGGAAAAAACAACGGAGAACAGGGATTTACTAGTGGAGTCTTGCTCCTCTGCTCGAGGATCTCTGCAGTGTTTGATTCAAACATGCCTCACCACAGCTTTGGCATTAGCTCCAACATGGCAAAGATTTACACTGCGTGATGTCCATAGTTTTGTGTGCTGAAGTGCTCGACCCAGGATAGCAGGGAAACACCAAAGTCTTATATTTTCAAGGGCTGGTTGGCCAACATGATTCCTCAGAGGCCGGAGCCCCGATTGCCTTCTGATCTCTTTTTGGTACTGGGAGGAGCAGCAAGGCACAAACCCAAATCTTTAGGGAAGCAAAGGATGTAACAGATTAGTCTTGTCTCCCTGCCCATCACCTCTCTTTGCTACATCCGCTGGAAGAGCTCTCAGTCTTAAAATGAGATCTCCAAGACTGGAGAGAGGTCAGAGTAGGTATTGGGAACTCAGTCCTCAAACCACATCTTGGCATTGCAGGAAAGATTGCGCCTCAAGCTGTGCTGTGGTCAGACAGGAACAAGAAAAACAAGGAAGACCTTTGATCATTTCCAGGGAATTAGGTGGTACTGCTAATGTGAAAGGGTGACTGCATTTCTACCATCAGTATCGAGACTACCGGGTGATAAATCCTGGTGGCCATTTGAAACCAGTATACACTAATACTCTCATCCTTGAAAGAAAAGCATAGATAAGACTGAAGGCAGAGAAGTTTCTTTGGGTGAACTTACTATCTTTTATAAGACCAACTTAAATAGCTGGAAACATTTTTCTTAGCAAACTTTCGGGTTTAAAAGCCCTTCGTCAAGCTGAGGAAGCATTTGCAGTTGGTGTGTGCTCTCACAGCTACAACCTACACCCCTGATAAGACTGAAGGCCCCTACCTCTCAACATGCATTAACTGCAATCAAGGTAAATGAACATGGAGCAAAGCCATCATTTTATCTGAAAAGTCTCTGCAAGTTTTGCTTTGCTGCCTGTGATCAGAAAAAACAACATCATCATGCCGAGCCGTGCTACCGGTGGCTTGCTAGGCCTCCGCCTCACCATGCCATTACTTGCGATTCTGTAATCTGTTTTCATGGCAACAGTTCAAAAAAAATACAGATGCTGTGAGCTCACGTGACAGCAAGCGACTGCAAGGCTGGCTTCCTACAGGGAGTCATTTGTGTCCTTAATGATTAACAGTAAAGAAAAAGGAGGGAGAAAAAAAAAGGCTAGTGCATGGTCAGTGGGCTGGCTTGACATGCTAAAGCAGTGATGCATTTCGAGTCAAAGGAGTCATTAGGTAGAGTCGCCAGGAAGCCCGGGGTGCTTGCGTATTCCTGTTGCGGCTCCACCGTGTTTCCACCGCAGCGGAGACAGGATCTCGGGAAACAAAAGAAGCGGTCGCCCTTGATCTGGATCGAGGGAGTGCTGCCTTTGCTGGAAGCCAGAGCACCCGGCAAGAATACTGCTGCCTTCGACATGCCAAAGTTGCACGGTCACACATCATTCAGACAGTCCAAGGGGGAAAACCAGGCAGGTGGAGATCCAAAGCATGCTACAAGTCAGATGGGAAAGGGCTCCATATCGTCCTGATCTCAAGCCCCAGCTCTCGGGTCCTGTGGTCCAGACACAGCCCAGGACAAATGCCCACCACCGCGCAGTCACAAGGGATATCGGGTGAACCAGGAGCTGCACATGAAAGCAGCCCCCAAGGTCACGGATCTGCGCTGAAGCTCACACGTGCAATGCCCTTGAAAAGCGTAATGCAGGCAGGACCCAGTTTCTGATGGCTGCAAGGAGAAAGCATGGACCAAGACGGGGCTAAATCAACCCATTTTGGTTCGTAGAAGCTGCCGCGGTTTCCTGCCACCATGAATGCGTGGAAAGCCCTCGAGGCTCCACGCACCGGGCATGGAGTGGAAACTGCAAAAGCACCATATGCTTCACCCTCGTTCGCCTGTTCCACTCAACTGTCTCTCTCGCTTTACCTCCCGAACAAGAGCTGGAGCAGCCTTAACGTGCAGAGAGAAACCAGCCAAGGTAGAGGGACATCAACCCGGGATGAGCGGAAACAAATATCTTTAATAAACTGGAAAAGCCACAGCACAGTAATAACCCTGCCTGGGTTTGCTTCAACACGAAACAACGTGGAAGCAGCCTTGTTCTGGCCATTAGATAATAATGGAAGAACCTCGTCGCCCAAGGCCCTCTGCTCAGCTATAAATGCATTATTGTTATTTGCTGGAACTTGCCTCTGCAAGACAGAACATCTCCCTCTGGCCATATAGACCTTGCTTTATTTTCACAACCGCGATGACAAAAGCCTATGCAATACGGCGTACCACGGCACTCACCCGTCCCAGCAGATGCACAATGCAACGGCAGTGGCAGCTACAGAGCCCTTGGCTCTGGCATCCCGGTTCCTTCACCCTACGTTAGTCAAGGGTAAAAGTCATTTGGATTACAGGATGGAACGCCAAACAATAAAACCCTCTTCAAAAATATCTGATTTTGCACTGCAGTTTACTATAGCTGCTTAACCGCCAAGACTTGGATTTGGAGTAACAATACTTGGAGAAAACATAAAAACTGCGCTGTGCTCGAGAGCTTTGTCGGGAAAAAACGTGCTAACAGCCCTTTCTGAATATGTAAAATGCCTATTTGCAGACTAAAACCTTGGCCCTTCTATACTTTCATCCCCTTAAGTAATAGCCCTTTAAATAAGAGCAGTTTATTCCCATTGGCCCTGAATTTCAGAAGTCTCAGCTGCCCCATGACTGAATCCAGTTGGAGTGATCGTGTGCTTTGGATCAATGAACAGCGAGTGGATCTCAGGCCCCGCCGCCCCCAGGAACTCGAAACAAGGATTGCAGTATAAAGGCCAGCTCTTGAGATCAGCTGCCCTCGTGACAGAAGGCTACAGAAATCCTTTCACGATCAGCTGAGCCCTGTAGGGCAAGAGCAGACGTCAGCACCCTTCTCCTCCCTCCGCAGATGTGACATCAGGTCTCTGGGGGACAGCGCAAACACGCGGGAGCCTGTTCTCTCCACCAGCCCCAGCGAGCGGATTAAGAGAGGCGGAGGAGGAGTCAGTACATTGGCAAGCAGCGTGAGCCGATGG